CTTTTCGAACTCAGTGTGTTATATATATTTTTTTTATTATAGAAGCATGTTCTTACGATAAAATTATTTTAAATTCTAGGATTTGTTAGTATTCAGATTATTTATGTTATAGTTTTTATTCGATTCATTGTGGTTATTTTTCGTTTATGAATTTCTTGTGTTTGTTTTTATTGAATGAGTAGACTGCGCTATGAATACATATTTGTGATCGATTTGAGACTGAAAGAACATAATATATTACTAGAATTGGAAAATTTATAACGTAAGGGAATAAACAAACCGAGAGGTTGATAAGATCTTACGAGAGAACGAAAATCCAATGAACTTACGGAGTTTACGGAGTTAGTTGTTCATCTTGAGACGGAGAGTAGATAGATAATAACTAATCTATGCTTTAACTTGTTCGACATAAAATGTTAAATTAATTTAGCGACTGTCTCTATGATTGGTAAAATTAAATAAGGTTTGCATGAATTTAAAAGTGTCATGAATTATTTCTGACGGAAGTATAGCCTAAAATCTATTTTTTGTATCTTGTTTATTCCATAATTTAGATCAAGTCTTTATTTATTAGATAAATTAGTTCTTATTTTGATTTCTTAGTTTACTATCTTTGTGGTACTCGCCCGCGCTTGTTATAGTTACTCCGTACGCTCGCGGACAGTGAAAATAAATAGCAAACACTCCCACCGACTTTCCACAAACTCCTAATGGTTGAACGAGGTCTCCCAAACTTGCCTTAAAGATTCCTCTTTCGAAGGCTCTTCCAAAATAGATGTTAAACACCGAGACATACGGTATTTCTTATCTTTGCCTTTTCCTTGAATTCTCTGACTGAGTTCAGTTGTGACTCTGTACGTGCTGGGCTTCTGTTGTGAAAAAGTACATTGTTGCAAAAGAAAGCATAAAAGTGACAAACCCTTCAACAATTCGAATGTTAATGAATTATAAGCATTTTAATGTGTTAATGTAAAAACAAAAACAAGGTAACACCTCTGCTACCTAATCCAGAGCTTAGAATCACCAAAAAAAAAATAAAAAAAAATGCAAAGAATAGAATATGCCAACAAAATCACAATACAATTCTTACACATCAAAAGGTAGACATAGTTCAGTTCACTAAACAGCAGTATCATCCCAACAATTACAAACTGTTATACGCATCACTCACATTATACCTCAAACACCATATACCCCCTTAGCCTTATCTACATCACCCCCACCAATAACCATCACACAACTAACATACAAACAAAAGAGTTGCTATCTTAACCCCTACAAACTAAATCCTTCCCAATTCCTTCCCCAAAACACACTATATATATTCCTTCAAAAAAAAAAAAAAAAGTTAACCATATTCACCTCAGCTTCGTCTCGCAAACGACCAAACGGGCCTCAGAAGCCTCTGAACCGACAGACTCGCCTGCGAACGAGTCACCATCTCCGCCATCAATGGCGTCTGATAAGCACCCAAAACGCCCGACGACACTTCCACCGAGTCCCCCCTCGTCGTTGCCCTCTGCCACGAATGCGAACTCAGTCCCGACAAAATGTAAGCTCTCCCGGAAGCCTCGTACACTTGTCGACTCGCCACCTTCTCTTGCATCTCCTTCAATTCCGCAATCAGCGCCAGGCAAAGCGGGTCCCGCGACTTACCCGAAGCACTCTCCAACAGCATAGCCCGAATGCTCTCGAGCACTGACGTGGCACCCGCCAGGTCACCGCTCTCGGCCGCCACACGAGCCCGAGCCATAGCCTCTGTCGCCTGCACTCTGTTCTTCTGCCTGTCGACCTCGATCGAGACCTCCTCCTGCTCGGGAGCTGCCGAGCTCCGCTCGACTCGAACGCGTTCGATTCCTAAAGTCACCGACTCGTTCGTCAAGGGCTCGTTGTAAACGCACGTCACGTTCATCAACTCGCCGGAATTTTCGCCGGCGGGAAGATTCAAATAGACGAGAAAATCGCGTTCCTCGTCCGCGTAAAGGTCTCCCACATCGATCAATCCCGAACGTCGATTAGATTCCATGCGGTTCGAATAGCTCCCGGATTTTATCGTCCCGAGACGGATATTCGAATCGACGCACTCAACCGAGACGCGTAAATCTTTTACGACCACACTCAGAAGCCCACCGATGCACTGCGCGAACGCGTCTTGTATTATGCTTTCGGTCTCGATGAACGAAAAAGTCCCTCCCGACATCTCGGAAATCGAGTGCATGGACGAGGCGTCGTGATCCGCGCCAAACCCGAACGCGTGGACTGGGAGAATGGAAGACGGGAGAAGAAGGTTGTAGTCGGGCTTGTTCGGGCCGTTGACTGTGTACGTGTCCTGACCGTCAGACAGGAGGATTATGCTGGAGACGGGGTTCGTTTCTCTTCGATCCTCCATCACTTTAGCGCCTTTCCTCAGGCCCTCGGCTATGTTGGTCCCACCGCCGGCGACGAGCGAGTTCACGGCGTGGAGGGACAGCTGTCGGCCGGACTCGGACATCCGGCGAAGGGGAAAGAGACGGCGGGCGGTGGAGGAGAAGGCAACAACCGCCAGCCTGTCGTTCGGGCCGAGGTTTTGGATCAAGAAGCCCATGGCCCGTTTCAAAAGTGCTAGCTTTGTGCCAGACATGCTTCCACTTATGTCGAGGACTGTGACGAGGTCGACGGGCACTCGTGGGGTTCGGCTGATCCTCGATGCTTTCAGGTGGATTAGGACGGTGAAGCTATCGACCGAGATGGATTTCGGAACGGATGAGAGTTCTGTGTATGTTTTTATATCGACTTTTCTTTGGTCGTCAGAATCAGTGGGGTTTTTATATGGGTCAGTTAATTGGTCGAGAGGCTCGTCGTCGTTGAAGACTGTGGGCTCGGGGGGCTGAAACAGCGGCGGAACTGCATTTCGGCTGGAATTCGGACGGGCGGGAGGAGGCAGCCGGCGGACGAGGGTATTTAGGTCATTTTGAGCCGAGTCGAGTGGATTTATCCTGGATTTTCTGGGTTGGAGGTCGAGTGTGGGTCCCTGAAATGGAATTTCGATCCATTTTGCTCGGCAGATGGGGCAGATTTGGTTACCATGCTTCACGTTCGAGGCGATACAGTGGAAGTGAAATGAGTGTGAGCACTCGGCGGTGAATATAGCTTGACCGTCCCCTCGTTTCATAGATGCCAAGCATATCGAGCAGGTTTTCTAACAATGACAAAGAAAAGGGAAAAAAAATGTCAAAAAGGAAAGAAATTGTAAATGAAGATGTTGTTGGACTTCTTCACGCTGACTAATATTTTTACATTTGTTTTAAGAGATGAAAACTGTTTATCAATGGAATATTTAACTCCGAGCACAATGAAAAACCGAGACAGTAATCAGCAGTAAAGAACTCTTAACAATGATGTAACTCTCGAGAAGACAATAAATAATGTCCCTCGTCGATTTGTGAGCAGTCTTAACATAACCAGAATCAGGAAGATAAGAGCTTAGACATGACTAAGACTTGGATTACAAATGTAGACAATAAAAGATAGTTGAATGAAATAAATGCTTTAGATTGATGAAACATAATTAAATCATTGAAAATTGAAATTGGATTATGCCATATCAACAACAAAATTTGACAAGGGGGCTCAATCGTAAGTGATGATGAGAAGAGCTAAAATTCCAATAGCAGGCACAAAAGCAATGGTGAAACAGATTCATTCTCTTTTACACGAGCTCTAGCCACAAACTTCAAATTACATCACATAGACGGAAACAAAACGAATCAAAAGAAGCTGCAGTTTCATTGAATCTATCTATTATACTACTTTTTTTTATTATATACTGAAACACATAAGTCACATACAGAAAGGAAAACTCAGAATCTCCCTTTTTTATCAGATCCCCAAGAAATATATAGAGAAAAAAACAACAACAAAGTCTCAATTTAGCTAGTATACAAGTTGATATTTGTGGTCATCATATTGCAGCAAGCAAGAACTTAAAACCATCCTATGAGGGGCTCAAAAGCTCACAATTTTTTGTAAATAGCAAGTAACAAAAAGTCAAATCCTATCACATAATCACCAGTTTAAACCCTTTCTATGCATTTGAATACAACAAACTACCCAAAAAAGTTCATAAAAAGGCTCACATAAACACAGCCAAAAAGAATAATAAAAGCAAAAAGTAAGAGATGGAAAAAATTATCAACCTTAGAAGAAGATCTACTCAAGCTTTTGGAAAACCTCAGCTTAATGGAGCCCGGCGTAGGCGGAGCAGACGTCCAGTCCCCTGGTGGCGACAGCAGAGCCGCGTCAGACCGCCGCTCTGATGGCGGCCGAGAGTCCTCATCGTCATCATTGTCGGCAACAAGATTTTTAGGGCCGTACACACACAAATTCAATCCAAAAGCCATTTTCACTTTCCTCCACTTACTCCCCATTTCAATTCCTGTAATTTGCAGACTAAAGAAGGGGGGGAAAAGCAATCTTTACAACAAAACCTATTTACTTTCTCTGAAGCCCTTTTGTATAAAATAAAAGAAAACGACGAAATTGCAGAGAATTTTCAATTCAAGAAAAAGGGATCTTCTCGAAACAAGAATTGGTGAATAGAAAAAATAGCCACTTTTCTTTGAACGAGAAAATGGATTCAAACTGAGTCAAGCACGCTAATCAAGAAGGAGAACAAGAGGGGGGGAGCTGGATGTGGTTTGTGTTGAAGAAGATCTGTTATTAGTATGTAACTAAATAGGTAAGAGGTAGATTGCTTCACTGTTCTTCTTGGCGGCCATGAGAGAGAAAGTGAGAGGTTGAATAACACCAGAAGAATGGTCCGTGGAGAGACGTGAGCTGACCTTTGCTGTTTATTTTGTAACTTTGTGATTGTATTCATCGATTTTTGACCTTTGCTCAAGGTTTTTATCTCATGAATAAAGGAAATTATATTATTATATTGCATTATATATATATAACAAGGTTGGTATTAATGTATTATGTAGTACTATACATGAGGTATGTTGCTTTACGAAGAGATTTTTGTCTTTGACCTTTCAGAATGTTTATAATTATTTCGGCCTTGGCCAATTGTCGACTTTGGAATAGTACATCAGTCCTTATATGTATTATCTATGTACATAATAATACAACTTCTAATAGCTATCTTTATAAATTTTTTCGGCCCAATTTTTCTAAGTCAAAATTGAATTTTATTTGGCGTTTCATTCAACGTATAAAATATGCTCCAAAACATTTAGTCATTTTATTGTGATATCACGCTACGGTTCATCACCATTATTTGAATTTTTCATATAATAGTGCCTAGGATACTCAAAGATATGTAATAATGGAAAGACACAATTTTGACACCCAAAAATATGTAAAAATATTAAGATACATCGCCAACAACAGGCTTCTCGAACCACACTTCTAATGGTGTTTTACCATTTTTTGCAAATGACGTGAATCGATGTATGAGATGTTGCGCGCATGTTACAGTCTTAGTCTAGTACTCATTGCCCAAACAAGCATTGGGCAACATACATCGAACCTTCTCTATCAATGTTTTATTCAAGCACTCCGTCACCCCATTCTGATGTGGTGTCCGTCTAATAGTGAAGTGCCCAATAATATCATTTTTACGACACACGTTTTGAAATGGTTCACTTGTATATTCTCCACTATAGTCCGTTCATAGGAATTTGACCTTATTTCCAGTCTGATTCTGAATTTGAGTCTTCCATGTAATGAAAATACCAATCGTCATTCATTTTCATAGTGTACACCCAAACACGTCTAGAAAAGTCATCGATGAAAGTGATAAAATAGCGTCTTTTCATAAGGTCTACAAACATCAGAATGAACATAATCTGGGACATCTTCGGTGATATGGATAGTTGTTACAAACTTCACTATCATCTGCTTCCCAGAATACAATGATCATCACAAAAGTTTAGTTTGGACACTTTGACATCTTCCAACAATCCTTGCTTTGTCAATGTAGCAAGGATTTTTCACCAGTATGTCCCAAAGCATACGCCACAACTTGACCGCTTCAGACTCCTTATTGGTGGAATATGCTACTGTTGTGACCATATCACCTTCATAGTAATACAAGTTATTCCTCCAGGTGCCTTTCACCATCGAGAGCGAGTCGGATGTACCCTTCATAACTCCATTTCGCAAAGTCACTACCAAGCCTTTGGATTTCAAGGTTCCTAATAAGATGAGATTTTTCTTCAAACTCGACACATACCAAACAACCATCAGAACTTTGATGGATCTATCGTGATTCTTCTGACGAATTGAACCTATCTCAATTGTTTTACAGACATTATCATACCCATATAGATAATCACTCCATTGATCTACTAAAAATTGAAGAACCACTCCCTTATGAGAGACATATGATAGGTTTATTCTTAATCCAAAATACATTCGTCTGGATGAGATGATAAAAGTAAAACCACAAGTGAAAATTATGAGTCTTCACTTCCACCCTCAGACAATATATGTATTTTGAGGAGATTTGACTTTCATTTTCAACTTCAGAAAGTCTTTCTTCTAGTGTCATTTATCATGAAAGAAAGTACACTCTTCTCTATCAAGTTTGTCTTTGGAACATGATCTTCTTCGTCTATTCTTCTTTTGACTTTTAATCGACTTTTTGCAACAAAATTTGTATTTTGTTTTATTTTATTTTTTTATCTCTTGTTTGTTCTTCTTCCATCTACAAATATAGAAGGTAAATTTTCTTGAAAGTGAGAATAATAAAGTAAAAAATAGAAACAAACAAATAAATTAATTAGTGTAAAGGAAGCATGTAACATAATTTGATATAGTGTAGTGGTGTTGTCTATTCCCTCCACTTTATTTTGCTTTTACCTCCTTTTAAAAAGAGAAAATGCCCCTATATATCATTTTATACTGCAACAAGAAAAGCTTTAATTTATTATTCCCTTTCCCCCATAAAAGAACATCAACTAGGAACCAAGATAGTGACCGCTCTTTTCATTTTTCACATCCGCCTTTTGAGAGAGCACACATGTGACATGCCCCCCAACCCAACTTGTATGCGTATTTTTACTATGTATTTGAGGTATTTGAGTGCCATTTTTTTTAAATAAAAATAAAATAAAATAAGCAATGAAAATCAATAAATATAATCACGAAAGAAGAGCAAAACCCATTGATGCAATACAAAAATACACACAAATACTTTGACATGTGTCTAGCTACAAATCCATTTAAAATAGTGATCCTTTATATTCTAATCCCTTAATAAAGGTATAGGATTCCCTTTTTACCATCCCTCTAAATTTGCCAGACTTTACGGGTTAAGTCAACTAGAAAGCTTAAACTTTCTTTAACCCCTTTACTTTTTGTTTATTCCTCTTTCTCATATTTTCAAAATCCTCAGTCCCCAGGAATTTTGAATATCTTGTGCTTGCATATGGTGCCATGTGGGCCTGTAAATGAGTTAAACTGAGTTCGAGCCTTTAACGAGTCGAGTCGAGCTCAGTTCGTTAAATAAACGAGCCAAAAATTGAGCTCGAGCTCGCTTGTTTATCACTGTTAACGAGTTGAATTATAGAAAATTAATTCTTTTTTCGAGCCTTATCGAGTCGAGCTAATCAAACGAGCTTTAAATGAGCTCGAACTCGACTCGTTAAGAACTCGAGTTCGAGTCGAGACGAGCCAGACTCGTTGAATTTAACAGCAGTGTCATCCCACTAGCAAGGGATATTTTATAAAATCATGGGCTTGGGTTGTTCTTTTGCCTGCATACAAAAACATGTCACATAGACAATTAATGGTCCTCTCATTTTCCTAGATGAATTTATTAAACTAATGCAATAGTTTGACTAAAATCACTTAGGTAACATAAATATCAACTGGGTTTTCACAAACTAGCTACCTTTGAGCATCTTTGTCCATGTCCACACAATTCATACATACTAATTAATTAGATTTTCTTGTCCTTTTTATTCATAGATGTACATATATATAATTAAATTGAATCCATAATATCATTGTGTAGTGTGTATGGGTTCTCTATTGTGGCAAAATATTTTATTTATTAGCCTCAAGTGATATACTTCTTCAGACACGAATATATTTGACAACCCTATTTGTGATTATGCGTGTTGGGAATTAAGAAAAAGAAGCATCATAATTTAGGTTAGTTTGATCAAAATTATTATTCGGAGCATCAATAATTTCTTTAGTGTAGTGGAGAATTTAGACGATGATTGTGATGCACAAAAGAGAATGCAAAAGTGTGTGGCATTTTTTTAAGCCACCTTTCTATTGATACTTTCTCTTAATAATAATTGATACAACGTGTCAAAGGACCCAATGTAGTGCCCATTTACTAGTATTTTCCTTTAGTCATGATGTCACATGTTCATGGATCATCATCAAGAATATTATAAAGTCAAACCAAATCTTATCAAGCAGTGAATGCTCACACCATGTTAATTATATTTTGTATGAATCAATAGTAATTCATACAACTCTTAGGCCTCTATACAACTATTACAACTATTAATTACCATAACAACATATCTAATTAAAGATTCTATACAAGATAACCACATAAATATTTTAGGGAAAAAAAAAACAAGAAAGAATTTTGAAAGGGTAAGGATAATCATCACAGGTGCTCCAAATCAATAACATTTTGATGCTTTTGGCGAGTTTTTTCAAGAGATTGGTTGGGTCTGAAAGTGGTTTGAGAGACAATTCCAATATAAATTTCATTAATAATTATCCTGTGTACATTTACAAGTATAAATAAAATATTATAAATTATATGTGTGAATATAATATTAAAATTATAAATTAGATGATGGATATATCATATTTTTAAAATTTGTTCATTACTAAAAATAAAACTGCATATATATAATATAAGTTATTTAAGTATATATGAATCAATATATTGATTAAAAAAAAAGGGATAATGTAATTTTTTATTTTGAGGGATCATGGTAAAGTGGTTNGAGAGACAAAATAAAAAAATATAATATTGATATTAGAATAATTTTTTTAAAAAAAAATTGCAATAGAAATTTCTTTGATTGCTTTTTATGAGGCGAGAGAAATATACTTATGTAATTTTTAACATTTGATGTGAATTATTATTAGTTGTTATTGTTTAATTATTATATTATATAATAGTAAACAATATGATTACACTTATTTAAAATAATTGGAACAGTTTTTTTTATCATAAATAGCTAAAAAAATGGATTGAAACGTTGCTAATAGGGCAGAAACGTTGTTGTTATTGTTGTTGTCTGTCTTTGTTGTTGATCAGTTGATGTAACAACAACAATTGGTTACGCAATATTAACGGATTCGTTATACCATTAAAATCAATTAGCAATTTAAACAAAATTCTTAATGATATAAAAACAAAGCGATAATGTTAAATTTTAAATAAATAGCTAAATAAAACTCATGCTATTGGTTTTTTTATAAGATTATAACTTCGGTAAACGTTTTAATATTAGTTTTTAAATAAACAGCTCAGTTGGAGTTGCTCTACACAAAACTAAAGACTTCAAAAAATAAGCTATTTTAGTTCAATTTCAAGATTACAGTTGAACAAGCAAAAATTACATTACGGTGACTATTCTACCCTCTGGGAAATACATCACATCACTAAACTATATGTAGTCATACCCTTAGTTTCACATGCCATTATGCACAAGCTCCCCTGACTCTAATAACAAAAGTATCAATGCCTATGACGAACTCAATTCATATGGTTTTCCAACGTAATTCGACATGTATAACTCCATTCTTAGATTCTATCAAATGGTATTTCTGGTTTAAACGCCCGTTGTTGACGACATCAGCAAGATTGATATCAACATATCCCAAGGATTCCTATACCGATCAAGAAAACACTATTTAGAAATAGGAAAGCATACGAAAAATGTCACGTGCATCATATCGTACCTTTGAATATAAGCTAAAGCTTGTTCTTTTGCTCATAACCTTTATATGAATCTTCTCTTGTAATGGAGGTTCTTCAAGCAAGAATTGGAACTCTTCATTCCATAGAGGGTTACGCGTTTTCTTCATCATCTATAAAAAAAATCCCGATATTACAATTTGCCATGGACATTTGTCTTATATATCAAGTATTAACCCTTCATAAGCCAAAACATTATATTTCAGCCATAATCGAGCTACAGTTACAGAGCCTTTCTGCAGATTTCTATTCAGCTTAACTGATCAAGAAATTAGAGTAGGAAAAAACTATTTAGAAAAAAGAAAAAGATACCACCTTTGATTTTTTCGTTTCGCCTCTGAAGATTATGACAACATATGGATTATTATGGCGGGACCCCTCCACGTCATGCGCCCCTTGAACATTGACCAGAAGCAAACCGGCTCCCGTTTGGCTTATGTTGCTAGGTGCCCTGTTAAACAAGCTATCTTCCCTATTAAACCCCTCCAAAAGCCCACTAAAATTGGCACTGTCCTCTCTGAAAGGGGCATAAACAAGCTCGAGCAGGATTTTCCCTCGTTGCTTCTTGTTATGAGTTTCAGTGATGTTTGTGTCTTTCAACAAGTCGAGCGTCACTTGTTTTGGCTCGTTGGGAGCCAGCATTTTCAAAGGAAAATTTTGAGTACCCAAACGGTCGTGTGAGCCTACCTGTTTTAATTNAAAAAGATTGTAAAAGTATCAATTTGGGTTTGTTGTGTAGAACATGACAAAGATTGTATTAAAGGGTGGTTATTAGACCTTGTCCCAATCGTAAATGTTGATAAGAAGCATTTGAGTTTGTGGTTCTTTTACAGAAATCTTGAAGTCCTCATTCCATTCGGGATTCAGAGTCTTTTTCTTGATGGTAGTTTTCTTAGTCGAGAGTTTTTCTCCACTGAGGCTCAGCTTGACGTAAGGATCGGATAAGCCGAGCAAATCCATCTTCAGAAGCTTCACTGCACGCACGACTTTCACGTGGAGAATACCAACAGGCTTCTTTATGGCCACCCTGAGAAGAAAATCAGACGTAGAGCAGTGATAAGATACAATTATATTCTTCAATAAGCTTTCAGCATTAGACTGTGAAAATATTTTTGGTTCGAATAAGGCACGTTGATGCATCAAGCACCGGTATGTCGAGACGCTTTGGCCAAAGGTAAAGACTTGCAACTTCTCTTTTAATTCTCTCCTGCCAAAGTGAAAAGGAAAAATGCACAAAATAAAAATAAAAATAAATAAAAAAAAAAAANATTTCAATTTTTTTTTTTTCGGCAACTTAAATTGAAAAATCCACAGTACCTGAACATATCGATAAAGGCCAGGAATGGACATGATGTCCCCACCCAACACATTTACCCCAAAGTCTATAAATGGCTGTGAATGCATAAGAAATGAGTTAGCAAACGAAAAAAAAGAGAAAAAAAGGAAAAATATGTAAGAGAGGATTGGAATGATTTTTCAGTTGAGTAATGAGTAATGAGAGACAAACTCACCTTCTCCATCAATGATACAATTATATTCGCAAAACACGGAATGGTAGGGACAAGTGGTTTAAAAGTTATCCGAGGTGCAGCAAATACTTGAACATCAACTAACTGCAAAGTAACAAACAAACACCAATTTGCCAAACCGAAAACTCAACCAATCCTTGCTTCTTCTTTTTTTTATTTTCTTTTATTTTTTTATTTCCTAGTGAACTCGACCGACCTGGACAGTGACTTGTACAGACAAAAAAGTCACTGCAACAACAATATTTGGATTGCCAGCCCATCGTATTGAGGGTTCCATCACAAGTTCCTTCTCATTTGTCTCACAGACTTTAAGACCTGTTTAAGAATCATCAAACACATATTTCGAATTTTCTCTTCTCAAGCTTTCTAAATTTCCTTTTAAATGATCAAGCTCTAAATTATAGACGACTTATATCATTCAAACTTCAAACAAGTTCTATAAATGAGTGCCCCTCAAGCACTTTCCGCATTACATTATAAATGCCCCATAGATGCAAGTTCTAATTTTGAAATGCTGAAATAGAAAATAACAATAGAAGTTCAAATTTTAAATTATAGTTGTTCTCTTTGCACTTTTCATTAGACTACAAAATCTTAAAGATAACTATTTTTAACCAAACAAAAAATAACTATACAAGCAAATCTCACCACTAATTGTTGGAGGAATATCCCCAAGGCTTAATTTCATGAACCCAATAGATTCTATCTTGAATTTCCCAATGTACTCTCCGAAAATCGGCTCACACGTTCTTCTAATCACGCTGCAAATTGCCTGAATACAACATGTTAACAAACTACTTCAACTATTTTCATCAAGCCCATAAGACGTGTATTGACATATAAAAAAGAGTACCGTGTCTAGAAAAGGCCACATCTCCGAAATAAACTTATTTAACCAATCTACCTGCAAAATTAGAACAGAGCACATTATAACTCAGTAAACCAGAATAACAATTGGGGAAAGACTATTAACAATTAAGTTTCTTGTAGAAAGAACATATCAGAAAATTACTCACTCGATCATAATCAGGACTTTTGACCCATAAGGGAATTTCAGGCATAAGATCGTCTAGTGCCACTGTGTCGAGCTCACAAAGTGGTTTTATCTCTGGATCCTAGCATCAACACAAGATTAACATAAACATATTTATTGAATTAATTGTTTTTCTTTTTTTTTTTTTAAGTTTCAAAAAATTATAATTAAAACATTTCACCCCAACAATTAACATTTCATCATATGATGGCAAAGCAAACAAGTTCCTTGCAGAAATTACTCAAGAAATTCAAATCATAAACTGAAGCCCAGAGAAATTCATTCAAACGCAGCCCACTATACCATGAACATATATTTAAAAAATAAAGCGAAATTCAAGAAATTAATGTCCATGAATACAGCCTAAATTTCCTGTGCCACACAAACACAATCAAACAGAACAAAAGGAAGAGTTGAATATGGTAACCTCAACATCTTTGGATTCAGAAAAAATGAACAAGTAAAACCCAATAAGAACACCCAAAGGGAGCCCAATCGCAAAACCGAAAATTCCCAATAAACTGCTCAAAAATCCCATTCTAATCCCTCAAAAGAAACAGAACCACAAAGTGATGATATAAGACGAGTGATATAAAATAGGAGTTTTTTATTTTTTCCTACAATTAAACAGTGCATTTGAAAAGAAAGAAAAGAAAAGTAAAGAAGGATGAGAAGAGAATTAAATGATAGTATGAAGTGGTTTTGACGATAGGATCTAAGTGGAAATGGTTCCAACGCTGAGTTTGAAAGTTACGAAGAGAACGACTGAACTGTATTAGGCAACCGCCAAAACGCAAACGCCTTGATTTTAATATTTCACTAGTACGCCACCCGCGCGTTGCGCGGTCTGATGTTAAAAATAATGTGATGAATTATAGTTTAAGTAAATAAAAAACTATTCAATTAAAATGTATGATAAAATTTGTATTTATTATATTTTGAATGTTTACTTAAATATAACATTATTAGTGGATAAATTGTATGCATTATCAATATTGAAAAAAAAAAAATAAGTGGACAAAAACAAAACAAAAAAAAAAGTTGTGGACAAAAATAAAAAACACGTAATGAAAATTACTAAAGAAAACGTATTTAGAAAATACGTGTTTTTTATTTTTGTGCGCAACTTTTTTTTGTTTTGTTTTTGTCCACTTCATTCTTTTTTATTTTTTTTAAGTAAAAAAATCTATCAATATCTATATATATATATAAAGAGGAGCAACAAAGCATTAAATTATATTGTCATGCATTAAATTTTATTATCCCTCTAAAACTTTCAACATTCAATTTTATTAGTTTTATGCATTAAATTTTATTAGCCCTCCAAAATTTTCAACATTCAATTTTATTAGTTTTCACATACCACCTAAAACTGTTATATTCGGATACAAAATATTTAATTTATTTATTTTTCATTTAATTATGATTTAGTATTTTTGTTTTTCTTATTTTCTTTTCTATGAATTTGTATCTGTGCAAATGCACAGGTTGATTACTAGTTGTGATCATAAATAATAATCACCCGACATTAGTGATCCGTGACTCTAAACATAAATATATAACTGATTGTGACTAAAAAATACAATGTATTTTTTTTCATAGAAAATTTAAATTTAATAAATTTAATGATAAAACATTGGTTATATTTGGCGATAAAAAAATATTTGATACATTAATGACACTTCTTGAAATTTTTTTCTAAAATGTGTTGATAATAACATAATTTTCATAATTTATTAATAAATAAAGACATTATTGCTATTATATAGATAAATTGATATAGAATAACTGAAATAAATATGTAATAATATAAGCAAATTAAAATAAAAAAATATGAACTAAGTACTTAAGAAAAAAGTACAAAAATGACCCAATTTCGAACCACATGCATTTAGTTTCAAATTAGATTCATATATTTTTTTTACTTCTATTAATTGGCAAAATAAATTTCAATAATTCATTTATTTGCAAAATAAGTCTGATGTTGATCAGAATGACATGTAAGATATATCATTTTTTGTAAGTTATAAATAGGCATAATAAAAGAGTAATTTTATGTTGATAAAACTAACATTTATGATATATTATAAGAAAACGTAGTTGATGCATTAAGGCATTATTGCAAGGATTTAGTTGCCATAATACGTACTCTTCATTTTCTTAAGAGAAAATTATGTATTATAATAACAAAATTTTAACAATAATTAATACATTATGCTATTTCATTAAAAAAATATGAATCAATAAACAAACTAAAATGAGGGCGATCACTTTAGTCACAAACTTTTAAATGACCTCAAACTTATACATATATGAAACAAATGATATCAACTAAATAAAATAAATTAAACAAACTATTTATTTTGGACTCAGTTATTCAATCAATTAGGACCAAAATTATATAAAATGTCTCATATAAAACAAAATTTCCACATAATAATTGAAAAAAAATATATATATGCTCTTATTCAGTCTTCACAAGCAAAATAATGCCATCATTCTTTCTCTAACTTATGGTTGAGACTCTCTCTCTCTCTCTCTCTCTCTCTCTCTCTCTCTCTCTCGTTGTCATTTCGTTTTTTTTGTTTCTTCTTTAACAATATCATTACGTAATATTAGTCGAGTTTTTACCCGTAAATAAAATCGAATTCTGATGTCATGTTCAAACAATAAATCATCCATCAATTTTTTTTTTTTAAAGTATAAATGTTTATATATGTATCAATTCTTTGTTACTATATTCTTTCATGATATTCTTTTTTTTTTTCTTTATATTTTAGGTCACATTAAGGCAACAATCAAACCTTCACTATTTAGATCAACTACCGACACTTATTTTTCATTGAATTTATGAGAATATAATTTAGCTTATTTTATTATAAATATACATTGATAGCACTTGCAAAAACAATAATAAAATTATTTAAATGGCAATATGTAGCTCTAAAATAATAATAAAAAAAAAATTAACACTTGTGATATATGATTAAAAAAATAGTTGCTGCATTTGTGGTATGTCGTGCAGAACTTTATTTGTCGTAATGTTTTGATAAAGACTATATATTTCCATCATTTGTATGAAGAATATCGATATGCAAATAAAAAATTAAAAACAAATTGACCCATTATGCTTTTTTTTTCTCATGAATTATAGTTTTATATTTATAGACTATTAAAGAAATTAAAACAATGTCAAAACTTTTTTGCATATATGTTTAGATGGCCTCTTCAAGATTTTGACAAAAAATAAAATAAATTATACCAAATAAAAATTAAAAAAATTAAACAAACATAATATTGTCAAACAACACCTCCAATCAAACTGAAATCAATATGAATTTCTCTTTAGTCTTCACACTTAAAGATATGAGTTGCACCTCGTTGAAATCATGTCACTCTCTCTATTTGTATGCTATCATTTATATATATTTTTATTTTTTTATTTTATTTTTATATATATGTATATTTTACCCATAAGGACAATCAAATTTGATGTCATGTTCGATTCTAAGTTGTTGTTTTTTTCTTTTGCTTTATTTTTTCATACTCATGGTTGATATTGATAAGAGAAACCTAAATTCAAATATATTTTTTTGTCCAAGTAGATATTATTCACTATTTTCGAGATATATTTCATATGGATATGCAAGTTCGTCCCCATTACCCGTAGATGATACTTTTTATTTTGTTTTTTTAGGTTATCCCTTTTAATCGAGTAATACATCATTTATGAAAAATATAACTTTATATTTTATATATCTCTCTCTATTTGCAATTTTTTATGTTTCAAACAAATTTATTAGATTATATATATAGCTTTAGTTTCAAACATTTTTTTAACGAAAAATATAACTTTAGTTTCAATGACATGGGTATTGAGGTGCAAGTTTCAATGCATAAATATATATAGACTTAATTATTTTACTTAAATAAATAATTATACTCGTTGCCCGACGTTTTCTTGAGTGTTTGTTGCGTTTTCATAATATATCATACTTATAAATTGACAAAATTTATTTCTAGATAAAAATGTAGTTTTGATTTTTTTTTCCTCCAAGGTACTTAACTTATATGCATGTGTGTGTGTGCTTATGTGTGCGCGTGTGTGTATATATTATGACATATGCAATGTACATTATGAGGCATTGTTAAAAAAATATAAATTTTCTCATATCCAAATCGTTATGTTACTCATAAAGGAAGAAAATAAAACAAAAATTAATGAAAAATTAAAATGCAAATTCATACTATGTAATTATCAATGTTCTAGAAGTCGCTAGGCGCCCGCTAGGCGCTCGACCAGCGCCTAGAGTGCCTAGTCGGGGACTAGGCGGGGCCTAGAAGTTATAATAAATATATTATATTATTTATTTTCAAAATTTCACTAATGAAATTACAACTTATAATTAATGAATCCATACACCTAAGTCCCAATAATATTATACTACTATCATTTTTTTTTATTTTTCAAATTTAAAGTTTTAAATTTTTACTAAGCTCTTCTCATTGTAATTTTATCAAACACATTAACTACATGTTATGTTTTAAACATTACACAACATAATATAATTACAGCAACCAACTAAACACCAAATTTCACTAATCACATCAACTAATTAACTAATTAATTTAACATAAATAATAATACAATACAACAAATGAGTAACTAAATAAGGAATAAAAAAAAAAATGTGCCCAGTAAATGGAAATTGCGAAAGTTGCTCAATCCCTTCCGAAGGAAGGAAAAAGCTGCTCAGTAAAGTAGAAGCTACTTCTTTCTTCTTTCGCTTGTTCACAATCACAACTCTCCGATAAGCCAATTTCCTTCTCTGAAAGATGTACATAAAGCCTCTTTCTAGATTATTAATAACACAATGTCCCATTTTTTGTGCAGCACCATCACGCCATCACCCTAGCAGCATCGCTGTCAACAAGCCCCTTTTTTTTTTTTTTCTAAAAATCTGTCAAACCGTCGAGAACCCGCCTCAGCCGCCGAGAACCTGCCACAGCCGCCTAATCCCGCCAAATCCGCGTAGCCGCCGTGACCGCCGAGGCCGTCTAGGCCCGCCTAGCCCGCCTGACCGATTTTTATGGCCGATTTTAGCAAATCGTCGGCGGTGGACCGCCGCCTAGGCCGATTTTTAGAACACTGGTAATTATTTATACAATATGTACAACAAATAATTATATTTTGTCGTTTGAATTATTTATATAGGAATTAGCAAGTTACTTTTCAAACTTTTGTTTCATAAGAATTAGAGTGAAAGTTCCAATGCATGACTATTTATTTGTAGCAAATGATTATAATTTTATTTTAATGTCATGATACATAAAAGTTGACAAAATTTATTTCTAGGTAATTAATGAATGTTTGGAGAAAAAAAAATATCTCCAAGCTATTTCACTTATATGTATATATATAGTTTTTTATTACACAAATTATCTACAAAATTTAATGTGTATTCACCATGTACTTATAAATATCAATTACTATATGACCCTTATGAATGTACAATTACAATTTAACATTTTCAATGTGACAAATTAATTATCCCTTCTCATTTCCAATAAGCATAGGCAATTACCCAAAATTGCAATCAATACATAATTTAATTAATAACTACAATACATATTCCAAGTTTAGACAATATCTAAAATAACGTGAAAATAAATTATCCTAGAATTAATACAATAATTAATGTAAGTTTGAACGGGAATTTAGCAGCTGTTCCGCTTTAATATATACTAGTACAATTCCCGTNATAG